GTGATCCACCCACTTTGGCCTCCTAAAGTGCTGGAATTACAGGCATGAGCCACTGCGCCTGGCTGTACCCATTATTTTTACATTAGAATTGAATTTAAAGACAGTAGAGTTACTGCCTTAGTCCATTTTATGCTTCTGTAAGAGAATACCACAGACTGGATAATTTATAATGAACAGAAATTTATTAGGTTCATGGTTCTGGAGGCTCAGAACCTTGTCAGCCCTTTCTGCTGATGTGGAGACAAGAAACTGTAGAAATAAGACACAAGACACAGAAATAAAGAGAGTTTGGGCCCAGGGGTCTACTGCCAACCAAAGCATGGAGTCTGGCAGTGGCCCTGAGTGCCTGGACGCTTTGACTTTTATTGAGTTCAAAGCTGGGGGCAGGTTAGGTAGGGCAGGTTAGGTAGGGCAGGGTAGGTAGGGCATGGTAGGTGTCAGCCACCATGCCCAGCCTATATCAAGCTGTTAATAGTCTTTTTTTTTTTTTTTTTTTTTGAGATGGGGTCTTATTTTGACACCCAGGCTGGAGTGCAGTGGTGTGATCTTGGCTCACTGCAGCCTAGACTTCCTGGACTCAAGCAATCCTCCTACCTCTGCCTCCTGAGTAGCTGGGACCATAGGCATGTGCCACCACGCCTGGCTAATTTGTGTGTGTGTGTGATGGAGTTTCACTCTTGTTGCCCAGGCTGGAGTGCAATGGCTCCATCTCCACTCGCCACAACCTCCGCCTCCTGGGTTCAAGTGATTCTCCTGCCTCAGCCTTCCAAGTAGCTAGGATTATAGTCACTTGCCACCACGCCCTGCTAATTTTGCATTTTTAGTAGAGACAGGGTTTCTCCATTTTAGTCAGGCTAGTCTAGAACTCCTGACCTCAGGTGATCCACCCACCTCAGCCTCCCAAAGTGCTGGGATTATAGGCATGAGCCACAGTGCCCAGCCATTTTTGTATTTCTATAGAGGTGGGATTTCACCATGTTCCCCAGGCTGGTCTGGAACTTTTGACCTCAAGCATTCTGTCTGCCTCAGCCTCCCAAAGTGCTGGGATTACTGGCATGAGCCACTGAGCCTAGCCATCAAACTGCTAATAGTCTTTTGAAGAGAAGAATAAGATTGGGGAAAGGGTGAAGTGGAAAATTTCACTTTTTCTTTATATTGCTCTATTTAAGATTACACAATAAAGATGTACTCATTATTCTTTTTTTTTTTTTTTTTTAGACAGAGTCTTGCTCTGTCACCCAGGCTGGAGTACAGTGGCATGATCTTGGCTTACCTCAATCTCTGCCTCCTGGGTGGGTTCAAGTGATTCTTCTGCCTCAGCCTCCCCAGTAGCTGGGACTACAGGTGCGCACCACCACGCCCAGTTAATTTTTAAATTTTAAGTAGACATGGGGTTTCACCATATTGGCCAGGCTGGTCTTGAACTCCAGACCTTGTGATCCACCCGCCTTGGCCTCCCAAAGTGATGAGATTACAGGCATGAGCCACTGCACCTGGCTGTACTTATTATTTTTAACATCAGAATTGAATTTAAAGACAGTATTGGGGAAGCTGAGGCTGCAGTGAGCTGTGTTCATGCCACTGCACTCCAGCCTTGGCGACAGAGTGAGATCCTGTCTCAAAAAAAAAGGAAAAAGAAAAAAAGGGACCGGGCATGGTGGCTCACACTGGTAGTCCCAGCACTTTAGGAGGCCGAGGTGGGTGGATCACTTGAAGTCTGTAGAGACTATCCTGGCCAACATGGTGAAACCCTGTCTCAGCCAAAAATAAAAAAAATTAGCCAGGTGTGGTGATGGGCATCTGTAATCCCAGCTACTTGGGAGGCTGAAGCATGAGAATCGCATGAACCCAGAAGGTAGAGGTTGCAGTGAGCCAGGATCGCGCCACTGTGCTCCAGTCTCAGCAACAGAGGGAGGAACGGAAGGAGGGAGGGAGGGAAGAAGGGAGGGAAGGAGGGAAGGAAGGAGGGAAGGAGGGAAGGACGGAAGGACGGAAGGACGGAAGGAGGTAGGGAAGGAAGGAAGGAAGGGAGGAAGGGAGGGAGGGAGTGAGGGGAGGGAAGGAAAGAAGGAAGGGCTCCACTGACTTTAATCTCCCTGAGGAATTTGTTCATAGGACACTGTTCTGGTTTCTCCATTCAGATATTGCTCCTTATAATCAGGAGTTCTCGGCTGGGTGAAGGGCTCACTCCCGTAATCTCAGCACTTCGGCAGGCTGAGGCAAGAGGATTGCTTGAGACCAAGACTGCAAGACCCCGTCGCTACTAAAAATTTAAAAATTAGTAGTGCGGTGGCGCCACCTTGTGGTCCCAGCTACTCAGCTAGGAGGTCTTTCCAGTCTGAGACAGAGTAAACCTTGTCTCAAAAAAACAAAAAACAGGGTTCTTTTTTTAAAACTTCTATCAACCTGGTGGAGCTTATGGACACTTTTTCAGAATGATGTTTTGTTTTTGTTTTGAGACTCGGAGTCTCACTGTGTCGCCCAGGCTGGAGTGCAGTGGTACCATCTTGACTCACTGCCTCCTCTGCCTACCAGGTTCAAGCAATTCCCTGCCTCAGCCTCCCAAGTAGCTGGGATTACAGGCGCCCACCACTACGCCTGGCTATTTTTTTGTATTTTTAGTAGGGACAGGGTTTCACCATGTTGGCCAGGCTTGTCTTGAACCGCCGACCTCGTGATCCACCTGCCTCAGCCTCCCAAGTAGTTGGGATTACAGGTGCCTACCACTACCCCTGGCTATTTTTTGTGTTTTTAGTAGAGACAGGGTTTCACCATGTTGGCCAGGCTGGTCTTGAACTGCCGACCTCGTGATCCACCTGCCTCAGCCTCCCAAAGTGCTGGAATTACAGGCTTGAGCCACCGCACCCAGCCTCCAGAAAAATGTTTTTAACGCATAAAATAAGATGTGTAGGATTACAAAGGAAATGAATTATATTGAAATATAGATATCAAAATATTAAAATAATTAAATTTGTAATCTAGTAAATTTTTTTTGAGTCAGGGTCTCACTCTTGTCTAGGCTGGAGTGCAGCACAGCAATCACGGTTCACTGCAGCCTCAACCTCCTGGGCTCAGGTTATCCTCCCATCTCAGCTGCCCAAGTAGCTGAGACTACAAGCATGAGCCACGACAACTAGTTAATTTCTGTGATTTTTATAGAGACAGGGTTTCGTCATGTTGTCCAGGCTGGTGTCAAACTCCTGGGCTCAAGCAATCTGCTCACCTCAGCCTCCCAAAGTGCTGGCATCACAGGAGTAAGCCACAGCACCCAGCTGTGATATAGTAATTGATGTGCCTCTGTAACACATTAAATAACAAGTCAAGCCCAGGCACAGTGGCTTATGCCTGTAATCCCAGCACTTTGGGAGGCCTAGGCGGGCGGATCACCTGAGGTCAGGAGTTCGAGACTAGCCTGGCCAAGAGACCAATAACCCATCTCTACTAAAATACAAAAATTACCTGGGTATGGGGGCACACACCTGTAATCCCAGCTACTCGGAAGGCTGAGGCAGCAGAATTGCTTGAGCCTGAGGGGCGGAGGTTGCAGTGAGCCAAGATTACACCATTGCACTCCAGCCTGGGCAACCAGAGCAACACTCCATCTCAGAGGATGAGTTCCTGGAAAATCTAAAGTAACTGGAAGACCATGAAAAGAGGAAGAAATGATGACCCCTGTGGGACCTACTTAACTTTGAGACATTCTCTATTGTTCCTTATTCCCGCCCTAATTGATAAGGCCATTGGAATTTGGAACTGACCTTGGTCAACCTCCTGACTCCACACCCTACGACCCCTCCCAGGTTGCAAACTACGGCCACCTCTCAGCTTGCAAAAAACCACCCTAAACTATAACTTTCCACTGCCCACCCCAAACCTATAAAACCAGCTCCTAGCCCACTGCCCTTTGCTGACTCCCTTTTCGGACTCAGCCCGCTGGCACCCAGGTGAATAAACAGCCATGTTGCTCTCACAAAGCCTGTTTGGTGGTCTTTCCATTCAGGGAGCACATGTTTTAACAGGAAGATTCTGTATAGATTTCTTCCCTATAATCTCATCCATCTCAGCTCCAGCACCCCATTGTCTCAGAAGAATGTGCAAACTAAATTAGGTTCTCCTATTACAATGTTGGTACATCCTTGGAGCACTTGTAATCATAATTTTGAAACCATAGGAAAACGTATTTGATATCTAACTCCACCAAGATCTACAGCTCCTTTGCTCACTACTGTCATTGCTAGTGCCTACAATCAATAGGACACTTTCGGTTGGGCGCGGTAACGTACGCCTGTAATCCCAGCACTTTGGGAGGCCGAGGCAGCGGATCGCCTAAGGTCAGGAGTTCGAGATCAGCCTGGCCAACATGGTGAAATCCTGTCTCTACTAAAAATACAAAAAAAAGATTGCTGGGCGTGGTGGCGCGTGCTTGTAATCCCAGCTACTTGGGAGGCCGAGGGAGGAGAATCACTTGAACCCGGGAGGAGGTGGTTGCAGTAAGCCGAGGAGATCGTGCCACTGCACCCCAGCCTGGGCGAAAGGCGACAAGAGCGAAACTCTGTCAAAAAAAAAAAAAAGACACTTTCAATAAATATTTTTTGGACAAAGGAAGGAAGGTCAATAGTGTCAAATGCCACAGACTTCTAAATCCACCCATAACACAGTTTCCAACAAGGATTCTAAATTATTTGTTCTCAATTACCATTTCCTTGCTTGTCAAAAGATGCAACTAGTGTAAGTTAGTATTACTTGAAAACTAAGTTGGGCCCCTCATCCCTGCGGAATTTGGAGAGACAGCGTTCTAAAAACCTCATAAACTAAATATGCTAGTTGATAAAGGAAACGACTAATCAAGAGTGTCCTAAACACTACAGCCCTCCTTAAACAAGGTAGCTCTAAGAGTCTAACACGGTCAGGGAGGCGGGGGTCCGGCGATTACACTTTCCCCGCCAGGCGGCCTCCTGAGGCGGATATTAGCCGCCCAGGACGGAAGTTCCGGAGCTTTCAAACCCTCGGGGAAGCAACACGGCAGCGGACCAAGATGGCGGCGCCCAGTGAGGGACTGGCTTTTGCCACGGGGGTTGAAAAGAATTGGGGTGCAGTAGTTCGCTCCCCAGAAGGAACCCCCCAGAAAATCCGGCAGCTGATAGATGAGGGGATTGCCCTGGAAGAGGGAGGCGTGGACGCGTGAGTTCATGAGTTAACCCTGGGTCCGGCGTTGGAAAAGTGGAGAAGGCTTGGGAAACACAGGCCTGGAGAGGGGGTAGCGGGTAGGGAAGGTCCCCCTCGGTCGGCGACTCGGGCAGTGGGGGCTGACTTCTCAGGATCTGAAAGATACTGGGATTACTATGTTTGATTGGCTTTGATCTTCCTCTCGGGATGTATTGGATTCATAATCATAGCCGAAATTTTGTCATCGGACATTATTTTTGCAAGGAAAAAAAGAGGACCGTTAACTGAATGAGTGCACCTGACTTCTTTCACTTGGAGATTCTTAACCTTTTTTTTGTGCCGTGGACCTCTTTGGCTGTCTGGAGACGCTTATGAACTCAGAATATTTGTAAATGCTTAAAGTAAATTACATAGGACTGTAAAGGAAACCAGTTAGATTGGAATGTTGTTATCAAGATAGTAAAAGAAAAAAGTTATGCAGTAACATATTAAAGAGTTCATAATGTCTAGTAGTATGTCTAGTCAACCATAATTTTGAAGTAGAGTTGAGCACAAAGCTATCTGAAAATGTGCAACCACCATAATGTGAGAACGTTTTTTCCATTGGTGGCAAATTAACTGGTACTGCTAATACTACTATGGTATTTTTACCTTCGTTCACAATTGAAGAAAATGCTAAATCTTGTCATTTAGAGAGAAATAAATGTCATTTTTACCCATCCAAGTTTATGGATGCTGTGATTTTTTTTTCCCCTAAGAACCACACCCCCTTGAGGCTCTCTATGAATCTCTGAGAGTCTTAGAAATAATTTCTTTTTTTTTTTTTTTTGAGACGAAGTTTCACTCTTGTTTACTAGGCTGGAGTGTAATGGCGCAATCTCAGCTCACCACAACCTCTTCCCCAGGTTCAGGGGTTTCGCCAGCCTCAGCCTCCCGAGTAGCTGGGATTACAGGCATGCACCACCACGCCTGGGTAATTTTGTATTTTTAGTAGAGACAGGATTTCACCATGTTGGTCAGGCTGATCTCTCCAGTTCCTGACCTGAGGTGATCCGCCCTCCTTGGCACCCCAAAGTTCTGGGATTATAGGTGTGAGCCACCGCACACGGCCAGAATTTATTTCTTTGGAGCTATAATCGTTGATGTAATCCTATTTTTATTAAAACAATTCTCGCCTTTCAGCACTTCCCCAGGTACTGCTGAAATGCCTTCCACTGAAAATGAGATAATTGCTTTGCTGACTTTTTTTCTCCTTGATTTTTTTTTTCATGAAATCTCCTGAAGATCTTTCCTTTATATGAATTTTTCTAATTGGTCGTTTTTTTTTTTGAAGGAGTGGGTATCAAAGGTCTCTCCAGGTGGAAATATAAAAATTGTTTTTTCTGCTGTTAACAGATTTCTGAAGAGATTCAAATTGTATAATGCATATCTGAAGCCTTGAGTCTTATTTTCTATTCACTAAAGTTATGCAAAATACTTGTGGAGAACAGTGAGTGAGTAAGAATAGTTTGCTAGGATTAGTGGAGCCCTGTAGAGGTAGAAATTGATTGAAATTAGGTATGGCTAAACTGTAAAGAGCTTTGAATGCCAGACTGAAAAATTTGGGTTTTATTTATTAAGTATTATAAAACCATTGAAAATAATAAGCTAAAGAATGACATGAGTAAAATGATTTTTAGGAAGCTTAAAATCCAGTATTGGCGTGATTTATGACACGACGCATAGAGAAGCTAGATGGAAAATATTTAAGCAAAGGGATACTATGAAAGGCTTACCAACAGTTTTGCCACTTTGTGTTAGGAAGGACACGTCTGCCACATCCCAGTCAGTTAATGGATCACCCCAAGTGGAACAATCTTCATTGGAATCTACAAGCAAAGAAGCCTTCTTTAGCAGAGTGGAAACATTTTCTATATCCTTTTTTAGTTCATGTGAATTGCACTTTCTACAATTTTAGTTATCAAAGGATAACTAAAATTCCTCCGTGGTATTACACATTCCTCCAAGGTATTACTCCAAGGTTTTTAAAATTTTTCAAGGTTTAAATTTAAGAATCAAATCCTTATTTCTGGTGGTCCTGGTATAAGAATAAGCAGAAAAAAAAAAAAAAAAGAATCAAATATTGCTAAGAAATTGTATAGGAAACTCAACATCCTAATATGTTATCCCTCGAAGGGACAATTGAGATTATCTAACCTTTTCTTTTTACCGAAGAAAACACTAAGAGCCTGAGAAAAGAAGAAATAACAACTAATACTTGTACATAGTATGTTTTCACATATATTATCACATTTGATCTTGACCTTAAACCTATGAAAAAAGCATTATTATTATACTTGTTTTACAGAAGAGCAAACAGTTTGGGGCAGGTTATATGACTTGCCCAAGATGAACCTTTTAGCAAATGGCAGATCCAAGATTATAACCTAATGTTTTTTAGATTATTAGAGACTACACTACTATATTATCTCTTTCTAGATTTTCCTTTGTGTATTAGCTACCTGTTGCTGCATAGCAAATTGCCCTAAATCTTAGTGATCTTAAAACAGCAAACATTTTTTATCTCATAATTTCTTGGGTCAGGAATCCAGGCATGGCTTAGCTGAGTCCTCTGGCTCAGGGTCTTTCACAGGCTGCAATTAAGGTTGGTCAGGGCACTGTCATTTCAAGGCTCAACTAGGAAATGGTCCACTTCCAAACTGTTATGTGATTGTTGACAAGATTAATTTACTGGTGTCTGTCGGACTGAGGGCTTCAGTTCTATACTGGCCATTGGCCAGAGATGCCCCTCCCCACTTGGTTTCTTGCTACATGGGCCTCTCTAAAGGAAAGTTCACAACTTGGAAGCCGGCTTCCATCAGAGTGAGCAAGCGAGAGAACAAGATATAAACCAGCCTCATTTTGTGATCTAATCTCAGAAGTGACATCCCATCACTTTTGTCATATTTTATGCATTAGAAGCAAGTCGCTAGGCCAGGCTATACTCAAGAGGAGCAGATAACACCAGGGCATGAATATAAGGAGGCAGGGATCTTTGGAGCCACCTTAAAAGCTGCTTACATCATCTTGCTTTGACAGAAGTCTTACTTTATATGTATGTGTATTTATATATATTTATATATGTGTGTGTGTGTGTGTGTGTGTGTGTGTGTATATATATATATATATATATTTTTTTTTTTTTTTTTTTTTTTTTAGTAGAGGTGGAGTTTCACCATATTGGTCGGCTGGTCTCGAACTCCTGACCTCATGATCTGCCCACCTCAGCCTCCCAAAGTGCTGGGATTACAGGCATGAGCTGCCAAACCTGACCCTGAATTTCTGTCTTATAAATTATTAACAAGGTCTTGACCTAGGAATCAAAAATTAACAAAATCTCAGAACTTAAGACCATGAAATAAGCCAAATCACCCACCATTTTTTGATAAAGAAACTAAATACTGGCCGGCGCAGTGGCTCACACCTGTAATCCTAGCACTTTGGGTGGCCAAGGTGGGTAGATCACCTGAAGTCAGGAGTTTGAGACCAGCCTGGTCGGCTGGGTTGAGACCCCATCTCTACTAAAAATACAAAATTAGCTGGGTGTGGTGATATGCACCTGTAATCCCAGCTACTTGGGAGGCTGAAGCAGGAGAATCACTTGAACCTGGGAGGCAGAGGTTGCAGTGAGCACTCCAACCTGGGCAGCAGAGCAAGACACTGTCTCTTGTGAAAAAAAAAAAAAAGAAAGAAACTAGGCTGAGCACAGTGGCTCACGCCTGTAATCCTAGCACTTTGGGAGGCCGAGGTAGGCAGATCACGAGGTCAGAAGATTGAGACCATCCTGGCTAAGACAGTGAATTTTAGTCTTTACTAAAAATACAAAAAATTCACAGGGCATAGTGGCACGTGCCTGTAGTCCCAGCTACTCGGGCAGCTGAGGCAGGAGAATCACTTGAACCCGGGAGGCAGAGGTTGCAGTGAGTTGAGATCGTGCCACTGTACTCCAGCCTGGGTGATAGAGTGAAACTCCATCTAAAAAAAAAAAAAAACAAAAATAGAAACTAATACTGGAATGTTGGTCAAATAAAAAAGTAAGCACATGCTGGTTATCACATTGCATATTTCAAGAAGAGACGTTAAGCATTAGGTCATAAGTTTATTTACAAACATACCCAGTGTGCTCTATGCCTGAGTTCAAGAATTTAATCCATTGTTTTGTTTTTCTTCAACTTTTATTTTTAGTTCTGGGGTACACGTGTAGGATGTGAAGGTTTGTTATATAGGTAAACGTGTGCCATGGTGGTTTGCTACACAGATCAATCCATCGACTAGGTATTAAGCCCAGCATCCATCAGCTATTCTTCCTCGTGCTCTTCCTCCCCCTATCCCCACCCCCTCCAGTCCCCAGTGTATGTTGTTCCCCCATGTGTCCATCTGTTCTCATCATTCAGCTCCTACTTATAAGCGAGAACATGTGTTTGATTTTCTGTTCCTTGTGTGTTTGCTGAACTAGCTTCTAGCTCTATCCATGTCCCTGCAAAGGACATGATCTAATTCCTTTTATGGTTGCACAGTATCAAAGAAGTTGTGAACTCAAACATCCATCTTAAACAGTTGATGTCTTGTTTTTTTTTTTTTTTTTTGAGATGGAGTTTCACTCTTGTCACCCAGGCTAGAGTGCACTGGTGTGATCTTGGTTCACTGCAACCTCTGCCTCCTGGGTTCAAGTGATTTTCCTGCCTCAGCCTCCTGAGTAGCTGGGATTACAGGCTCCCACCACTACACCTGGCTAGTTTTTGTGTTTTTAGTAGAGACAGGATTTCACCATGTTGGCCAGACTGGTCTCCAACTCCTGACCTCAGGTGATCCACCTGCCTCAACTTCCCCAAAGTGTTGGGATTACAGGCGTGAGCCACCACACCTGGCCCAGTTGATGACTTTTTTTTTTTTTTTAAATAAGAGATGGGGTCTTGCTATATTGCCCAGGCTGGAGTGCAGTGGCTATTCACAGGCACAATCCCATTACTGCTCAGCACAGGAGTTTTGACCTGCTCCGTTTCCAACCTGGGCTGATTCACCCCTCCTTAGGCAATCTGGTGGTTCCCCGCTCCCAGGAGGTTACCATATTGATGCTGAACTTAGTGCGGACACCTGATCAGCATAGCGCACTACAGCCCAGAACTCCTGGGCTCAAGTGATCCTTTCACTTCAGCCTCCCAAGTAGCTGGGAGTACAGGCAACTGCCACTGCGCCTGGCAGTTGATGTCTTATAAAGAAAAGTATAGCAAATCAGATCCAAAGTACAAGTCATCATAATTAGTAAATGCCAATTGTTTTCACTGAAAATGTCAAATTTTCTGGGCTGTCATTTTGGCTCCTGTAGACCATAGAGGTTGTGAAGCTGAGGATACTCTAGCCCAACATGGCTAACATAGTACTGATGGGTAGCTCTGTGAAAGGAGCAGAGACTGAAAGCGGAAGAAATGTGGTACCACCCCAAGTCCTCTGTTTTTCACTATTTTGTTCCCTGTATGCAAGGACAGAAAGACCTAGATGCTAGTTTTTTAAAGTGATTTAAAATTTTTTTTAAATTACAGACTTACAGAAAGGTTGCAGAGGTTACAGAGAACCTTTTTTCCCTGAGCTATTTGAAAGTAAGCCACCAAAGTGATGTCTTATTACTCCCAAATACTTCCTATTAACAAGAACTTTGTCCTACATAACCAGAATGCAACCATCAAAATCAGGAAGTTGACATTGATAAGTTCCTACCCTCTAATCCTCAGATGCCAGTTTTTTCATCAGTTGTACTAATAACATTCTTTATAGCTGAAGGATCCAGTTGAGAATCATATACTGCATTTAGTTGTCGTGTTGCTATAGTCTCCTTTGATCTGGAATATTTCCTCAGTTTTTCCTTGAATTTCATGATCTTGATACAACAGACCAGTTATGTTGTAGAGTGTACGTCAATGATGTTTGATGTTTCTTAGTTATTAGATTCAGGTTATGCAGGAGTGTCGTGAAGCGATAATGTGTTCTCATTGCATTCTGTCAGGTGACACATGATTTCTATTTATCCCTTTATGGTGATGATCACTTGATTAAGGGAGTGTCTGGCATTTCCATTGTAAAATAACTCCTTCCTCCTTTGTGAATAAAAAGTACTTTGTGGGGAGTTTCTTTGAAACTACGTAAATATTCCATTCCTTGTCAGACTTTAGGTAATTGATTTATTTGTAGCAACATAGACTCATAATAGGTTATAACTCATAACTATTATTATATATTTTGATGCTCCAGTTGTTCCTTATTTAGTCAGTGACATCCCCCTCAGGTTGGCCTTTTGACATATCCCATAACCCATGACCTCTTTATTGCTTTCAGGAACAAGTTGTTCTAGGCTTATCTTCTTGTCCCATCCCTGGAATCAGCCAATTCTACAAGGATGCTTGACTCATATTCAGTGGAGAATGTTATTTAAAAGATAAGATCTGAACTCGGCGTGGTGGCACACCTGTAATCCCAGCACTTTGGGAAGCCTAGGTGGGAGAATTGCTTGAGCCCAGGAGAGAGACCAGCCTGGGCAACATAGCAAGATCCTGTCTCTATATGAATGAATGAATGAATGAATGAATGAATGAATGAATGCATGCATGCATGCATGCCAAGATCTGGGTGCAGGGAGAACTCACAGCTACTGGGATACCACTGTTCTCAGACCCTCTCAGAGGAAAAAGCTAGAGAATATATATGTTTATGTATACACATACACACATTCACATATGTACACACATACATCAAAATTTACATCCATTTATCTCTATATTTTAGAAAACGATGAGTTCCTTCTGGCATCTCCAGTTGCAATTGTACATCACAGGATTCATTCAAGTTTTCTCCTTTTCCATATTTGTCCCTCCCTTATTCAACACTGTGAAACATAATTTCTATTATCCTTGATATATTTACTA